CTTAATTTCATTCGAAATAGAATTAACAAAAACGTTCATTACTACAGTTTCCTACAAATACCCTCAGTAACAAGTTTTCTTCTTGGTGTTAATCTCTAAAAGGGTATATTTAAAAATAAGGACCTTCTTGTTTGAGACACTTGAATAAACACCATGAAGCGCTTTACAAGATATCATCGCCTCTTGAGCAAACTGAATGGGCTGCAGAATGCAATCAAATTGTTAACTTTGTCACTGGTGCATGTCTAATGAGATGTTCAATGCCATAAAACAACTCCTTTATCGAGAATTGCGAGGCATTTTATTTTCTTGAACTTCTTGTGAAGACACTTCCTCAGAAAGGTAACTCCGTTTTAGAAAACTAATGGCGGAAAATAGACAAAAGTTAAGGTCTTGCAGTCAGTTTTTTTTTTTTATATCTCCCTCTTGTTTGTTCATGGCTGCACGAGATTTTATCTTCATATTTAGTTGCGTTTAGAGCAATTGACCCTCGCCATTTTGCCATGTCTAAGTTAATTTAACGACACACATTCGTCAGTGTTGTTGCCTACATGTTTTCCTCCCAATAATAATAATTACAACAGAACACAAAAACCCATAAACGGGCTAACGTATAATTTCTTTATTTTATTTTATCTAGATTTGTCTGCCATGTCTCCCAAGTTTGGATTATTGTTGCTTATGTTGGTGCTAATGTGCAGCATTCAATATTGTAAGTATAAACATACGCATGCATGTACAAGCACGCACTGACAGAATTATGCACACACGCGAAGCAACAACTACACCGGGGAGTCCTGACTTCTTAAGTCTGAGGTATGTCGCTTATATACCGAATTTCTCAAAAATTACATTACAACGCTGTGACCTGTGGATTTTCATGTCATGAACCAACGGTATGGGTCACGCTGAGAAATTTTTTCAGGGTTATGGTCTTGCCAACAATGGGAAAGAGACGTGTTTTATCCGTAAGACTTCTTGAGAATTTTGAAAATAAATTGCTCTCCTTACGAGAGAAGATTCATGCTTTGAAACAGGGAGTCGCTCATTCCTGTGTACACAAATCACGGGCAAAAACTGTTTTTCTTTATCGACACAACTAAGACACTGAGCAAAATTAATTCAAGTATTTCCAGTTTCTTCTCTTTAGTTAGTTCAGTTTTAATTATTTTTCTTGTAGGTGGAGCACACGGTATGTTTTTAGATTTGCTGAGTCTACAGAGCAGGTTACCAAGAGGAACTACAAACAGACTTACTTTCCTAGTTGATGGATCATTGTCCCTTCCAGGGATAAAAACTATCGCTTTTATCTTTTAGCACTGTTATGTAGGATCAAAGAAAGAATGTCTTATTTTTCGGTGTTTCACCGTGACCTGGTTTAAGTAGATGTATTTTACAGTTTATTTTAGATGGTAGTAAGCTCTTCACTTGAAACTGGCAGATCACAACGATATCCCTCCTTAGGCCTTCGATATCAAAGAGCTAAGAACATCATAACAACGTAATATCAAAACACTATCATGACAAATGAACTTGCTAAAGTGAACCCAAACACAATCTACGTTATGTACGTCTTCCTGAAGTTTTCTATCGGTGATATTTCCCCCAAAGAACTTTCGAGTGTTTAGCACGTTTAATCAAATAAACACAAANATAGCTATCACAAGTTGATGGCTTGTCCCAGAACCTGTGGCGTATGTGGTGAGGATATTTTACTGCTTCAATTTATGATAACTTGTAATGCATTAGGATAGTAGCCTTAAGATTATTTTAAATTAGGAATCCCTGTTGACAGGCGAGGAGCCGATAAAATAAACTTTGTCAGTGGGACTGATGCAAAATTGTACCACTCAAATACCGTTCAACGCGTTAGAAATAACCTGTAAAGTATGTTTTCACAAGAGAAGGAAAAATCTTTGTCATCTACAAGTGGTCTACCAGTGTACATTTTTGAACGTTCAACTGAGATTTGAAAGGTTAAGCAATTATTAGCAGAAAACCTCTACTTCTAAGAAAGTGAACAATTATGAGGAGGCCATGGAAGACCACGGCAGGCAATCTTTTCCAATCATTATTTTTGGAAATAAATCGATGAAAATTAATCTACTTAGCCTTTTAGGAGAAGTAAAATCACGAACTGCATTTAACAAAAGGACTTTCTAATGCAGCGGAATTAAAAAACTATATGATCGAGTGTCACTAGCACTTCATTCCAGAACTTACCTAATTTCATTCAAATCTCGTTCGTCACAATCAAGCATTTCATCGAAGTGGATGCAAATTAGTTTTTTTCATATATGCTATGGGGAGATAGGTTAAAGGGTTGGTTATTTACTTATTCATTCATCTTTCATTTCTTATTTCATACATTTATTTTTTACTTTATACATTTATTTAATTTTGATTTTGATACTACAACTCCTACTCCTGATTTCTTAGTTTAAATTGTATTAGAAATAGGAAAGCACTGGCAAATATTAACTGGTTCCTCTGACGATTGAACACTCCTAAATATATGAACGATATTTTGAAAACAAACTCAGATATTCATAATAGGAACACTCGTTATAGCAAGTTAAATCTAAGGTGCCCGACATGTAAGAATTTAACTGAGGGCGGCCGAAGTTTTATCGTGCGTTCAATTAAGGAATGGAATTCCTCTCCTAAAGCACTTAGAGGATTTAAAGCATCATTAAAAAAGGACATCCTAAGTAAATAGGAAGTTGATTTAATGTTTTCCAAATCATGTGATTATAGACATCTATGTGTTTCAACACACTAGGCATTCACCATTCTAAGTTTTCTATATGACTTTTAGGTCTCTGCAACCTCCATCCATAGTAGCTTATAGATTGTATAATTAACAACTTATTCCACGAGCGTGCGTTGGATATGAGATGATAGATAGCCAACGAGGCGCGTAGCTGGCTATAGTCATCTTATATCTAACAAGCGCAAGAGGAATAATTGTTTTACTTTAAAAAAAAAAATGCCCCCAAGATATTAGACAAATCTTCTCGACTTTACTTTGTGAGAGGAAACCGGATTGAACAATGTACAGATATTAGGTTATGGTATATTGGCTCATATACCATATAATGGCTGAGCCAATAAAAAGTCTTAAATTGCATTATCTAATAATCCAGTTTTCAATAGGTAATGAGTATTAATTCTTAATTTTTATTTCAACTATTGTGATACCTTTTCATGTTTTACATTTTCACATTTTTAAATCGACCTACTTATACATTTTGGATTTACTTCTATATTTATCATATGATATATGTTTTTGTTTTGTTTTATTTTAGGGCCACCGGGTCATCAATTCATTAGTGCTGTCATGTGTCACCCACATTAAGTAAAGTTACTTACTTACCTTCTTACTTACTAAGTGAGTATCGCTACGAAACTATAACATCGTCACCCAGTAAAATGTCAAAGAGTAGTGGCAAGGATAAAAGTTGACAGAGAAAATGAGTTCCCACCCAACATCCGCATTGTTTGGCTTTTATTGACGTGCTTTCAGCCAATACATGTATTGAAAAATGACAACAACTGATTCCTGCTTATGGAAGCGCGTCCATTATTGATCAAGTTTGGGCACCACTGCTTTTAAACGCCTCTCCAAGCAACACAAATCTTTCAATGTGAGGACAGATAAAGCATATTTAACCTGTGGTTGCCAATAACCTTTCACTATAACCCTAACGCGAGTCGCGAAAAAGTAACACGTTAAAATGTTACAGACTGACACTCACGTGTTTATAAATCTCCCTCAAACGCGCGCACAAATCACACTTCACACAAGTCACACTCCACGCAAGTTAACTGTAACGGTCTTCCTAACTAGAGACATACTCCGTCTTTTCTGAGATGGCAGAAACCCTGACAGTACGAGTACGATTAACTTTGGATTACAAGTCAATTTGCAGTTAAAATAACTTATAACCTGGTTGAAGACTTTTTCTGTAGTAGCAACTGATGAGCTGTCACAAACGTCTAAGGTAAACCCGTAAAAGTATCGATCGAATGGAAACTCCGACTTACCCGCTGGTAGATCAACTGCTCATGTCTTAAGAAATATTGGTAAAATCCGTATCAACCAGTCATATATTTTGGACGATTTGAAATCCC